GTCAGAGATTGACCACACGCAGAATCGTGAGAAACAGACCTCGAGGGCTGATACCCAGTACGACCGCCGATTGAACGACGACGATGGCCTCGAATCCTCCTTCCTTGGCGGCGACGGCATGCTGGTTCGCGCCGATCGCACCAACAACACCAAGCTTGTCCTCGTCGCCGAATACCCAATATTTGGAGTCGTGGCAGGCCTTGCGAGAATCAAAATTCAAAATTCCAAGTCTGGAGGCGAAGCTCTTTTGATTGCTACAAGAGTGGCTCGTTTGAGTCTGGTGCAATGGGATCCCGAGAAACACGCACTCGAGGACGTCTCTATCCACTTCTACGAAAAAGAAGAGCTCGAAGGCTCGCCATTTGATGGCCCGTTGAGCAATTACCCAACTCATCTTGCTGCCGATCCCGGCTCCCGATGTGCCGCTCTCCGATTTGGCTCCAGATATATCGCCTTCCTACCCTTCAAACTAAACGATGAGGACATAGATATGGATGACTGGGATGAGGATGTGGATGGACCTCGGCCGGCAAAAGAGCCGTCCGCAACTGCGGCTACAAATGGAACTAGCAACTTAGCAGATGTACCATACTCAACGTCATACGTCCTCCCTCTCCCGCAGCTTGATCCCAGTCTCCTCCATCCTGTGCACCTCGCCTTCCTGCATGAGTACAGAGAGCCGACCTTCGGTATCATCTCTTCGATGCAGCGCCGCTCCAACACCCTACCTCGGAAAGACCACTTCTCCTACAAGGTCTTTACCCTCGATCTGCAACAAAGGGCATCCACGGCTATTCTTTCCGTCAACAACTTGCCGCAGGACCTCTTCAAAGTTATTGCCCTTCCAGGTCCTATTGGAGGAGCTCTTCTCGTCGGCACCAACGAGCTCATCCACATTGACCAGTCTGGCAAGCCCAATGGTGTGGCTGTCAATGCTTTCACCAAGGAGACGACCAGCTTTCCTCTGGCCGATCAGTCAGAGTTGGATCTGCGGCTCGAGCACTGCTACATTGAGCAAATGTCTCCTGAGAATAGAGAGCTGCTCATGGTGCTCAGCGATGGTCGTTTGGCCGTCATCGCTTTCAAAATCGATGGACGTACCGTTTCCGGACTCAGTGTCAGGATAGTACCCGCGGAGGCTGGAGGCAACGTTGTGCAGTGCGGTGCCTCTTCGATTTCACGGCTGAGCAAGAACGCGTTCTTTATTGGCAGTACTGGTAGCGACTCCCTCGTTGTGGGTGTCACCCGGAAACAGACACAAAACGCGCGGAAGAAAACGCGTTTGGTTGACGACTCTTTCGCGGACGACCTTGAAGATGAGGATATCGACGATGACGACGATGATGATCTTTACGGCGAAACCACAACGACAGTTCAGTCGAGCACAGCCGCCAATGGCGTGCCCAAAGGAGGAGAGATATCATTCCGCGTTCATGACTCTCTCCTGAGTTTAGCTCCGGTCAAGGATATGACGACGGGCAAGCAAGCTTTCATCCCGGAGAGCGAGGACGAGAAGAACTCCGTCGGCGTCGTAGCTGATTTGCAACTTGCGGCTGCCGTTGGCAAGGGCAATGCAGCCGCCATCGCCATCATGAACCAGAACATTCAACCAAAGGTCATTGGCAAGTTTGAGTTCCCAGAGGCGAGGGGATTCTGGACCATGTGCGTTCAAAAGCCGATTCCAAAATCACTGCAGGGCGATAAGGGCGCAAATGCTGCTGTGGGCAGCGAATTCGATGCTTCATCTATATACGACAAGTTTATGATTGTTTCCAAGGTTGATCTAGATGGTTACGAAACGTCAGATGTTTATGCTCTTACAGGCGCTGGTTTTGAGGCTTTCACGGGGACAGAGTTTGATCCTGCGGCAGGTTTTACGGTGGAGGCGGGCACGATGGGAAAACACATGCGTATCATTCAGGTTCTCAAGTCTGAGGTGCGATGCTACGATGGAGGTGAGTTATCGGCACTTATAACTGTCGTTCAACGCTGACGAACAAACCAGATCTCGGCTTGAGTCAAATCTTGCCGATGCTTGATGAGGAGACGGGAGCTGAACCACGAGTCGTCAGTGCCAGCATCGCGGACCCCTATCTCCTGCTGGTACGAGATGATGCGAGCATTATGGTTGCTCAAATTGATAACAACAACGAACTCGAAGAGATGGAAAAGCAAGACGACACCATCTTATCAACACAATGGCTTGCCGGGTGTTTGTACACCGACACCACCGGTGTGTTTGCTCCGATCCAAACCGACAAGGGTACCCCAGAGAGCCAAAGCATTTTCATGTTCCTGCTCAGCTCAGTGGGAGCTTTATATGTAAGTCCGTTTCACAACATTTGATTTCCAACTTCTAACGAAACCAGATATACGCTCTTCCCGACCTCTCAAAACCGGTCTATGTTGCTGCTGGAATGACCTACGTCCCCCCCTTTCTCTCTGCGGACTACGCCGTTCGTCGAGGCACAGTTCAAGAGACATTGACGGAAGTGCTCGTGGCCAAATTGGGCGATGCCACGGAGTCTTCGCCATATCTTATTGTGGGTTCTATTCGATGAAAGATTTACGGCGTATCATTCTGACTCAGTTGACAGCTTCGACATGCAAACGACGACATTACTATATATGAACCGATTCGCCTTGAATCACAAGACAAGTCCGAGGGCCTTGCAAAGACTCTCCACTTTCAAAAGATCACAAACCCGGCTCTGGCCAAGAGCCCAGTTGAAGTAGCGGATGACGATGCCAATGAGCAACCTCGTTTTGTTCCTCTTCGACCGTGCGCAAACATCAACGGCTACAGCACCGTCTTCCTTCCTGGTGCCTCGCCATCCTTCATCATCAAATCTGCCAAAAGCGCTCCCAGGGTATTGGGTCTGCAGGGCATCGGCGTTCGTGGCATGAGTTCTTTCCATACCGAAGGCTGTGAGCGCGGTTTCATTTACGCCGATTCAGAGGGGCACACGCGTGTCACGCAACTGCCCGCCGACACAAGTTTCGAGCTAGGCGTGTCCATTCGCAAGATCCCAGTCGGAGATGCTATCGGCCTCATCGCCTACCATCCTCCCATGGAGACGTACGCCGTTGCCTGCAGTGTGTCGGAGCCCTTCGAGCTCCCCAAGGACGACGACTACCACAAGGAATGGGCCAAGGAGACCATCACCACGTTCCCGCAGATGGAGCGCGGTATCATCAAGCTCCTCAGTCCCGCCACATGGTCCGTCATTGACACTGTCGAGCTCGATCCCCACGAGGTTGCCATGTGTATGAAGACGCTCCACCTCGAAGTGTCCGAGGAGACCAAGGAACGCCGCATGCTTATTGCCATCGGCACGGCCATCAACCGCGGCGAGGACCTGCCCATCCGTGGCCGCATCCTCGTGTACGATGTCGTGCCCGTTGTGCCCCAACCTGGACGCCCAGAGACGAACAAGAAGCTCAAGCTGGTCGCCAAAGAGGAGATTCCCCGCGGCGCCGTCACCGCCCTCTGCGAGGTTGGATCGCAAGGCCTGATGCTTGTCGCGCAGGGGCAGAAGTGCATGGTCCGTGGCCTGAAGGAAGACGGCACCCTTCTGCCTGTCGCATTCATGGACATGAGCTGCTACGTCACCTCCGTACGCGAGGTGCGAGGCACCGGCTATTGCCTCATGGCTGATGCCTTCAAGGGTGTCTGGTTCGTCGGCTACGCAGAAGAGCCTTACAAGATGATGCTCTTCGGAAAAAGTACTGGCAAGTTTGAGGTCTTGACAGCAGACTTTTTGGTCGATGGAGACGAGCTGCACATCGTCGTCTGCGACAAGGACGGCGTCATTCACGTAATGCAATTTGACCCTGAGCGTAAGTCTCCCCCGTATCCCCAGACTGCTTGGCAAATCACTAACCATCCGCAGACCCGAAGTCTCTCCAAGGCCACTTGCTGCTCAACCGTGCCTCCTTCTCGGCTGCGCCGAACCACCCTACTGCAACCTTATCACTTCCCAGAACAACCACCGCCGCACAATCCGCATCCGCGTCCAAGAACCCACCATCAACGCTCATGCTTGCTTCTCCCACGGGTGTTCTTGCGGCCCTGACCCCGCTATCAGAGCAGGCTTACCGACGCCTGACATCCCTGTCCAACAGCATTGCCGCAGCGCTCCCTCACGCAGCCGCCACGAACCCAAAGGCCCACCGGCTCCCGCCCCTGGACGCGCGCCCGCCGGGCGTCGACACAAGCGCCGGACGCACCATCGTCGACGGCGCGCTCCTAACCCGCTGGAACGAGCTCGGCGCAGGACGCAGGTCGGAAGTCGCCGGCAAGGGCGGCTACGGTAACGTGCTGGAGGTCCGGGGCGAGCTGGAAGGGATCCTCGGATGGAACGGGTTGGCCTACTTCTGAGGCAATTGTAAAATAGGAGGATCATCGCGTTGGGGGCCGAGTATCTTTTTGAAGTTGGGCCTTTTGGAACAAGGCCTTGGTGCAGCAATTGCGAGAAAGCGTTTTCAAGAGGCAAAAGTTAGATCGACGACACTTTTGGTAATAGGAATATTCGAAAACCAAGTACATTCACAATGTGACCATTGCTTGCCTCATGTGCTGTGATGTGCTGGTCGTCAAATCATGCAATGCGCGCTGTCATTTAACGTTATTGAGTACCATTACCATGACTAGAAATCTAACCTCATGCTGAGGTGCCTATGTTTGACCTAATCTATTCTTCGTAATGCCTTTCTAGGCAATCGTAACTCAAGCTCGTCGTTGGCCCTGAGGCGTTCAAATTCATTTTCGCTCAAAGCAACACAAAGCTCTTCTCTCATGGTGGACCTCACCAACCGCAGAGCCAATCCCACCGCCCATACCTTAACAGTGTTCCTTGTATCGTACACTCTCATACCTTTTGGTAGTTACTAAACATTCCGAGAAGCGCAACCGAATAGGCGCAACTAAGACATTACGTCATGGCGACGTGGTATTACATGAGAAATAAGCCCAAGACTAAATGACCTGGATGTGACATCTAGGCTGCAGCTTGATGTTTTCGACGAATACTTCCGAAGCGGCGCTTCAGACCGTCACTAAGGCGCTTGCCAGTGCTGTTGTGACGGCGCACATCTGCGCTGTTCGACTGTCCGGTGGGCGTCTCTGATGGGCCGGGCCTTCCATCGGCGGCATTGCTCACGCTCCGCTGACGAACCGTGGCACCGAGATTCTTTCGTGACTGGCTGTTGGCACCGGGATGCATCTCGTACTCAACAGGGCCGTTGCCGAGGGACGCCTTGCGCATGCGCTTCTTCTCCTTAAGATCTCTCTCGTAGGTGTACGAAGGCTCGCCCTTTCCTTTGAGATCATCAGGGTGGTACGGCTATTCTTAGTCAGACATTGCAGATGACGTCAAAATTGGAATAGCAGACTTACGATTCCGTCCCATCGTTTGTAAGCACCGCCCTGCGCGTCAGGCTCGCGCATGAGGTCCGCTCCCTCCTCATAGTTCATAATGTTGCCGCGCATGTCGCTGCTGCCGACGGGGACGGTGCCGGTTCCTTGAAGAGGAACATGCTTGGTAAGGGAGTCTTGGATGTATTCACGGGGAGTTGCTCTCAAAGCCTCCTCGTTGGATTCCTTGACGGCCTCAACTGGGGCGTACTGCTTGTTGCGGTTGCGGGACGCCAAAGTGGCGTCATACGGGCCGCCATGGTGGTAGACACCACCTATGGTGTCGAGCCCGTCAATGGTGTCGGTCATGGGACCATTCTTGCGAGTGCGAAGGTGAGGAGCGCGGTCTGCTGCACGATGCTCCTTCTTGAGCATGTCTAGAGGTCGGTGAGACATATCGCCGTTGTATCTTTGGTTCAATGAACCCGAGCGACGGAGACCGCTAGGGACGTTGTGATGGTTCACGCTTTTGCTGCGCTGGACAGATGGGTCGGCACGACCGTCTTCCTCGTTGATAGGCCGATTGCGCGCGCTGAAGCTCCGTGTGACGCTAGTACTCGGAGGCAGACTGTTGCGAACACTGGTGCTGCGACCTAGAGGCCTGTAAGGAGCAGATGATGAAGCAGGTGAACCGGGTTCTCTGGGCGAGGGCAGTGATGCGCGGTTGTTGTAAGTGGGTGAGAACGGGTTCGAAGAGTGAAAGCTGGAGCGTGTTGGGCTCGCGGATGTAGGCGGGGTTGGATACGACGAAGCCTGGCTGTGGCTCCTATGACTTCTCTGGCTCTTATCGCTCGGCTGGACCGGGTCTTTTCCTTTCTTTCTCTGTGAGAAAGTACGAAGCAATGGGTCAGGGTTGATGAATGAGCTTCCAGGTCCGGTTTCCTGGCTAGGTTCAGGTGCAGTGAGTGGATCGAGTAAGTAAGCCTTTGCCTAAGAAGAATAATGTTAATTGAATGTGAGTAGAGAAGGTGGACGCAGGAAGACGACTGGACACGAGGAGTTATAGATAACAAGTCGAACGACAAGCAAGGACGCGCATGTGTAAGTGGAGGGACCCGTATTATTTACGTCGTCAAGGGCTTAGCTGCAGTCTGGATGATGCCAGCCAGCTTGTCGAGGTCCTTGGAAATCCGATGGCTTGGATGAACAGTGACGCAAGAAGGGACTTCCAGCCGCCTAAGCTTGGGTGGCTGAACCGTGCAGTGCAGGGGACCCGTCCGTACCTTGCTTCCCGACTCACTTGGGTTGGCAGGGGTAGCTTGGGTAGTCTTGGGGCTTAGAATAGTAGGCAGGCTTGGGCACGGGCAGAGAAACCGGTCGGGCGTCCTGGCCGCGAGCGCGGTAGGGGGGAGGAGACGGGACGATCGGCTTCGACCACGTTGAGTGAGTCCTTGGGCCTCGAACTTTGCTGGGGGCGGCAGCAGTGACGGAATGTTGGAGCCGTAGACGGGCGAGACGGAAGATGACAAGACGGTGGATGCGACGGTGACGGGCTGAAAAGAGTGGAGACAACGAGGGAATGGCAGACGAGAACGTGAGCGATGACGATGATAGGGCCGACCGTAAGGCCTAGGCCTAGCCAGCCATGTTGAACCGCAATGAGTGTTCGTCGAGATAATAGTACGACAAATGATGATGGATGGGGTCCGTGATTTGTTCCAATGCCTGTAAATAAAAAAACCGATCATGGACTTACCCACTGCTTGTTGCTGCCCGAGTCGTCCATATTGTTTTTGGTGTAATTGCTGTGGCTGTGTCTTTTGTTATGGTTCTCGAGGGTCGTCGGGTATTGGCACAATACGCAGCACAGCAAAGCGAAGCGAAGCGATGCAATGCAGCAGAATGACAAGACGAGAGATGAGAGGACGCAAAAGCCGGGGACAGAAATGCAGGTGTGAGAGCCCTTTTGAACGACAATGCAGTAGTAGAGGTGGTCTTCACCTTCAGCGTCGTCCGCTGTTCCGTTTGGTGGGATGAGTGAGGTGCACACCCGGGGGCGAGGAGGGCGACGGACGAGGACAAGGACGACAGAGTCATGAGGGTGTGGGCGTGATGCCGACGACAGGCACAGTCAGTCCAGGCCTTTCAGACCAGGCGATCCCAGTCCTTGTCAGGCAAGTGTGAGGTGCGCCAGTGTGCGGATGCAGCGTGGCCTGCACCTTCTTCATCGCGGCGCTGGGCTTCTGGGAACATGCCCGGATGGGAAGTGACCATCATGGGACCTGCGCTGGCCAGGTCGCCCGAGCTTGCCATTGGTGAGAAGTTTTGTGGTGTTCTTTTGGTTCTTCTCTGGCAGGGAGGGGGAGGGGAAAGGGAAGGGAAGGAGGAGGGGTGGGCATGTGCGAAGGGACCGGATGATGTGGGTGGGAAGGCGGGGACGGTGTAAGGCGATGTGAAGTAGGTACCATCTGGCAGTTGCTCCTTACATGGCAAGCCTGGCTCTGGTAGCTGCAATTATTGGACGAAAATCCGTCACCTTCTGTTTGGAAAGACGCTGCACATTCATGCTGCTCATTCCTAGTTCCTAAATGCAATGCTTGGGATTCTATACTCACATCCTCAGCACCACCGTCGTCCAAATGTTCTCTCCATATATCCCCTCCGCCGTCCAGAGTCAGGGTCCAAAGCGCCCCGGCCCCGATCCGCACACGAGACATGTCTCCTCGCCCATCACGTTACCACTTTCCCCTCAGCGGCTCCGCTGGCAGAGACACCTAACTTAGATCCACCCGGCAGGGCAAGACCAAGACCACGGCATCCTCGGCGGCCCAGGGACCAAAGGAAACAATGAGAAACGAAACATTTCAACCGCTAGGCCACCTTAGCTCAGCCACAAGCACGCCGTCAGCGGGACGCGCGGGCCTTTAGAACCTCGTCCGTCTCTCGTGTCTGTTCTTCTCATCGTCCTCGCATTGGCTCCCAATTCCTACGTCATGCGATCAGCAAAACTTTAAAAAATCCCATTTTAGCCAGGGGACCAGCAGCCACGACGCGCCGCAACATCCCATTTACCAGACCACCTCTCCCACGCAGCAACCGTTACAGAGCTGATACCACGAGCAAATTAGCAGACCACTCATAAGTGCCGCTATTGATTGCAATGCGTGTCTGGGTGAAAAGGAAAGAAGAAGAAAAAAACATGCAATGGGTCACCCGGCCTCTCACCGAGCTTCCGAGTGGCCCTTCCGGGGCGCCAACGGGGCTCGCCGCAAGTCCCCGGTCCACGTCTCACTGCCCCTCAAGTCAGGGCCATGCTTGCTCCGATACCTGGCAGAACACGTCGCCCTACCGGGACTGGCCACTCGCTGTCAACGAGTGAGAGCCATAAGCTTAAAATTATGCCCCGTCGGTGTTTCCATGCTGGTTATGGGCGAAGATGAGCAATGCTGCTCTCATTTGCGCCGCCTTATGCCGCGACTAGCTCGTTCTTACTCATGCTCGACGCTCAGTCAAGCTCACGATGCTGCTAAAAGTCTAGAAACTCAGTAGATGCCGCCCATAGGCAGCTTTGACAAGGCAGCTGAAAGGTTTGTTGCTGATTGTAATTGCGTGCGCGCCTCATTCAGCGTGCATGGGGAGCTTAGACCTTACCTTGCATATGACGTACCGGGATCGAGATCTGGCTGAAAAGCTTCGCTCGCAATTCGCAAGGTGTCAACTGCTCTGGGCTTCTCTTACCACCGCCTTTTTGTGTGTATGACTGACAGGTTCCACCACCTGCCTCTTTGCTATGGCGCTTTGATACCTTCACGTGCCTCACATCTCTCAACTGCCACTGCGCGCTTCTAGGCGACCTCGCAGAGCCCCTCAGGCGCAGCAAAAAGCAAATGCATCACGCTCTCGCCTGTAGCTCATTGGCCTGATAGCTGTACCGGCCAGCTTCCGTCGCGTCCCGCAGACCCAACAGGGTCTTTCGCTCCGGGATCCCCCATCCGAGACCGCGGCCGCCGGGCAATGGCTCTCGTCGACTACTCGTCGTCCGACTCGGCGTCTGAGCCGGGCTCACCCCCGCCCAAACGCCGCAAGGCCGCCGACGGTGGCCCGGAAGGTGCCGTCGCCAACAAATACAACAAGACCACCGCTGCTTCTTCCTCCGCAAGTCAACCGGACGGCAACTCCGCACTGCCTCCGCTGCCGGAGGAATTCCACGACTTGTATGCCTCCACCGTACGAACCAGCACCGCCGATGATCCCACCCTCCACCAAGGTCGGAAGCGTGCCATTCCACACATCGTCGGCCACTGGCCTTCTCACGTCTACATTGAATGTAAGACACACACTCTCTCTTTCTCTCTCTCTCTTTCGTCTCTCGAGCTGACAAAATTTCTCCAGGGCATCCTACAGCATCCCAGCACGCACTGCTCACAAACCTCCTAGCCAAGATCGCGCCCCTTCTCAAGTCTCAAAAGCTGCAGCCTCTACTAACCTCAGACCTCAACGCCCCGCTGCCCCTCCACGTCTCCCTCACCCGCCCTCTCTCCCTGACCACAGCTCAAAAGGACGACTTCCTCTCCGCCCTCACCTCGTCCGTTTCCCACGCCACAGGGCCCTTCACCCTCTCCCCGCGCGGGATAGGCTTCTTCAAATCCCCAGACTCGGATCGCGCCTTCCTGATCCTCCGTGTCGCTGACCCCCGGGCCTCCTCGCGAGATAGCAACAGCACCACCGGCAAGAACCCGCAGCTCCGCGCCCTGCTGACAAAGTGCAACGCCGTCGCCCTCCGCTTCGGCCAGCCGCCGCTATACCAGGCCCGCGCGACCGAGCTCGTCGACGACGCCTTCCACGTGAGCATCGGCTGGACGTTTGGCCTGCCGCCTGAGGACGCGTGTCTGCAGACGTACGGGATGTTGCGGCTTCCGGAGTTTGCAGAGGTGAAGAAATGGGAGATTCCCGTCTCGGGCGTCAAGGCCAAGGTCGGGAACGTGGTGACGCATGTCCCACTGCGGGATGCGCAGAAGAGGGATGGCGAGGAGGACAGTCTGTTTGGATGAGGGTCGCCGCTATTCGTTAAACCTGCATACGCGTCACGAATCAAGAAAGCCCAAGTGGCTTCAGTGAAACACTAACAGAAGTGTTGGTATCAATTTTGTATGTACAGCCTGGTCACGGTACCAGTCCAGTGTGCCCTTGGTCTTTCCGGGAAAAGGGGATAAAAGAGGAAAAGAAAGACAAAAACGCCATGAGCCCCGCCCGGCCATGCAGTGAGTAGATGCCATGCTAGGATGTGAAAAATAAAGATGTCTATCTACAACTCGTCCAGCGGCCGCCTCTGGAAGCTCCAGTTCCTCTCGATAACGGGGAGGCCAACGAAGCCTTGGTACAGACGGGCCAGCTCTACTGCGAGGATGTTGAAACTACCACCTTAGTTAGACTTTGTCGACTCCCAGCACAGGGTCATAAACTTACAAGGTCTTGGGGAAGGCGGCCCAACGCGAGATCACGAATTTGGTAGCCTTGATGAAGCGGCCGAATTCTTCATCAAAGGCCTCGTCGAAGGCTTCCCTGACGGTCTGTTCCGATCGGGGCTTGTCCTCTGGGTAGTCCTCGGCCGTGATAGGCTCTGGCTCCGTTGACGTGACCACATTGTGCGGCTTCTTGGCCCTGTCGGGAATTGCTGTGGTGGGTTCGGCGGCAGCAGCCACGGCAAGAGCCTCCTCGGCGTCTACCATGGCCCGGAACTTGCCAATAGCAGCCAAGGAGCTACTAATACGAGCATAGGTATTGAAGAGGGCGACGAGCTCGGTGCGCTTCAACACGGGGATGTCCTTGCTGTGGTTGTCGAATTCGAAGAGGACCTTCAGAGCAGTGCCGTAGCCGGCAGTCTGGAGCTTGCCCCAGAGGCGGCACTTGTCGCAGCCCACACAATCCATGACACGACTGACGTTGCGGAAGCGGTTGCGGAAGTCCTCTTTCAGGGACGGACCCTCACCATTCTTAAACATGAGGCTCTCGTCGAAGATCTGCGGAACACTAGCCGCACCCTCAGTAACTTCGAGAATCTTTGCTCTGGTGGCAGCGTCCTGGTCCAGATCCCCCGTACAGAAGGTATAGTCTCTACCCTGGAGATAAGGTCCCAACTTGGCGATCGCTCGAGTGACCAAGGCATAGTTGAAGTACAGGTTGCTGATCCGCTCTGGGTGGGTGTGGAGGCGTTGCTTGTAGCAGGCCAGGTTGGGTTGCCATTGACCGGTAGTCTGGTTTAGGAAGTCCCAGCAAAGATGAGTGCTGATGCTCGCGTGCATACCCGAAACCACGCGGTAGAAAACCCGCTTCTCGATGCACTCGTCTTCGGACTCTAAGCCGGTCTGGGCGACAAACGGGGCGTTGGGCTGCTTCTCGCGCATCTGCTCCAAAAGCTGCTCTCGTCCAGCGGCTTCGAGAACCTGCCTGAAGTCTTGCGCCGCTGGTCCCTTGTTGCTGACTTGTGACTGACCCAGAGAGGCGGAATGGGGGAAGGAGCTCTTCTGGAAGCAGTTCTCCCTGTAGATGGCGTCCCAAACCTGGGCGGCGCCAACTCCTGCATATCCAGTGAACCGCTCGGGATTGCGGAGGAGGCTCACGTAGTCTCCCTTCGAGGTTGCGCTCTCATCCTCCGGCACGCAGTAGTCACGCTCGTCGCACTCGTCGTCGTATTCCACTACACAGCTTTCGCCAACCTCGTCGCCCAGCTTTCCTTGTAACGGTCGTTCGGGGCGCTCGTGCTGCACCTTTCTCGGGGGGTGTTTCGCCAAGGGTCCTTCCAATTTTCCAAGCTCGCTCGCCCGCCAGACTTCGGGAATATCCTCCTCGTTATCCAGGGTCTCAACGGCACAGGCGATGTTGCCGCACATGCCATTCTCGTCGTTCCAGAAAGGGCATTTCTTGTGGAAGAGGTTCAGTCGGTAGTGCGAGAAGAAGTCCGTCGAGCTGGTAAGGTCGTCGACGAAGGGCTTGACCTTGGCGTTCAGCTTGTCGAGGGTAGAGTACGAGGCGCATGCGTCGGACACAATGGCCTTGGGCGAGATCTGGTACGATGCGTTAGAGACGGAGAACCGATAGCGAGACGCCGCTGCGAGGGCACAGGTCGCGAAGAAGAAAAAGAAAACGGCGGCATACCGCACAATCATCTTGGGCGCGTTCGCATTGGACTGGCGACCCCAAGAGCGCGAAAACGGAGAGGAAGAATAGTCTGCTTGCAGACTTCATGTTGCAGGGTTCGCCGTGGGCGGGGATGACCGGACCGGACTGTTTAATATGCGACGCAATGACAAGAACAGGTGGTCGCAGGAGAAGAGGTTGTCAACGGAGAATGCAGACGACAAGTTTCCAAAGGTTGGCTGAAACGTCCAGAGTGTCCGGGCTGGATGCGTGGATCCGAGGCAGTCTTATGCCTGTGGCGCCTGCAGCGTGCAAATAAGCCGAACGGGTCAGGCAGCGCCAAAGGTTAAGTCGAGTGAGGTTCGTTTTGGCGAAACGGCCCGGGGGCGCTGAAAGCTAGAGATGAAGTGTAAATGGGCCAGGTGTGGTTCTCCAGTCTTGTCTCAAGTCTGACATAAAGATAGAGGTGGCATAAGCATGGGCCTGTCACCGCACGATCGACGTTGTTCTCTTGGCCAGCAGCTCTTATTTAAAGACGGCCGTGGAACCCTGGAGGACGTTGGAGAAGATGACAGCGTGGACGGCTGTGCAAAGACCACGGACGCCAGGGTAAGAGAGAGAAGACCAGACAAGTGGCCAGCAATTAAAACGGGATCCTCGGGGCCTTTTGCAGGTTGCCAGCTTTCCTGTCCTCGGGAGTGAGGAGTCATGTCATTCATTGGATTGGAATCTGTCCTCAATCTAACATCAAAGGCAAAACCCGTATGCGCAGCAGCGCAGGTAGCACACCGTACAGCACAGCAGGACCTGCCAAGCGTGGAAGCAACAATGGAACCCACCCTCCAGGCTGATTAATTCGTCGGAGCTGGGCCCTGACTCCCTGAGTGCCGTCAAATATCGTACTACTTTATCTGGCGAGGATTAGCTGATCCTCAAATGCGAGCCCGATCCCAAGTACCTCGGTCGCCTGGGGCAAGCGAAAGGATACATCGCTCTCAGGGCTGTCTTACGGGGGCGAAAGGCTAATTTAGGCATCGGTGAAAGGTGTCCTTCTTGGTGGAAAATCAGCAGATGCAGGAGCCAATTGGAACCACTCTGGCGCCAAATGGTTCCTCATGGCTTCCGCCGTTCCAGATCGCCTCTCGGATGCCGCCGCCGCCATCCAACTCGGCTTGGTGCATCCGCAACTTGCCAATTGCAGACCACGGCGCCTCTGTTATACGTCTGGCTGCCCGTCGTCCCCTGTAGCCTTGCCCGCTTTGCACATGCCGACATCAGATGCACAAAAACTCACTTTTGCGAGCCTCTTCCAGCTTGCACATGTTCGTCATCGCGAAGTCAAAAGTGACGTCTCGCACTCTATCCATCAGGACTACCTACCTTATGACATGGACCAAAGAATATGCAATAAAACTGCTGTATTATACCGCATGCACAGCATCCCGTCTGCATGTCTTGCCATAGCACACCATGCTTTTGGAACAAAATTCTGCCCAAGCATGACTACTATCGTTGTGTCTCACCTCACTCTAAGCTTCGTCGCATGTCCACGAGCTAATAGGATGCTAGTCTCTGCTGGTCTCATGTTCAACTTGATTGAGCTTTTGAAAACTGCATGACCGCATTGAATCCACGCGTCTATGCCTACGTCCCTAAGCTCCGTCTTCGTTATCGTCGTTGGCCGAGCTATTCAGGCGATAGCCAATAACGACTATCTCTACAACCGGCGCGCCGCTCCTGCTTGCTGCCTATGGTGCGAGAGGCTCTCGTTGGCGGCCGTTCGCAATCTCTGTGTTGACAAAGTTCAGAGGCATCGGCTTAGAAGAAGACGCGCCGGCCCAGCACGCCGGGCGATAGAACTCCTCCCTCATCAGACAGATCCTCAACTGGGTCCCAAGACAATCAACAGACAGCAAGCAGAACAGTCCAACACTAACAAATCCCGATGACTCAAACCGCCCAAATAAATGCAATAGCCGTAATGGTATGCGCCGTCTTTTACACCATTTGTCGTGGCCCCCAAAGACGAGGTATTATTATCTCCCAATCTCTTCTCATGAATCTCTAGAGAAAACTTCCGTCATCAATGGCCGTCATTCGTGTCGTTGAAAGCGTTGCCCACACAGGAAATCTGCGGAGCGGGAGGCGGGCATGTGTTCCGCGTTTGCAGGGTAACAAGGAATTCGCCTCGCTTCTCGAATCACTGAGGGGGCTGGTAGTTGAGGGGACGCCTATGGCAGCATGTTAGATAAACACCGTGGGGGCGAAGTCAAGGGAAAGGCAGACGAACTTGAACAGCAAAATATGCGGCTCCGGCTCATGAACCTCGTAATGCTCCCAGCCCAAACTCTGCACATCATGTCAGCCTGTTATGTTCCGTGCGGGAGAAGTTCGGACTCATACCTGAGTGATACCAAGTGCGCGCCATTCCTCCTCCCAAAGCAGCTTCAACGTTCCGTGGCTGGCATCATGGTAATCTTTGGGGATAGCCTTGAGCATGGCTTTGGGAAGCTGCACATGACGGTATTCGAATTCGCTGTCGGAATACCTAGATGTGAAGGACTGGGTCAGTTCCATGCGGTCCCTGCTGTTGTGCACCAGCACGAAGGCAATGAGGGACTGGAGGTGTTGCATACCGTGCCGAGTAGTGGATGGAGTCGATGAACTCGTCCAGCCGACCCCGTTCGGAGTCGGACAGAGGGCGCGGGACCTTGTTGCGACGGCTCATGTCGATATCCATGGCGGCTGCTGTGTCTATGTCTGCGTGCGTTTGCGTTGCTGTCTGTGGGATGAACGGGTGGCGTCTAGTCTCGGTACCACAAAGGCGAGACAGCCGGCGGGGTAGCTCTCGGTTCGAAGACTACAAGAGTTCGAGTGACGGGTGACAGCGAAGGCGACGGCGGCGACGGCGGTCGGGACTGGCGATGCTCGACTCTCGGACGGTTGGGGGTCTAAGGACGCGAGCGAGGACTCGGGACCAGCAGTTCTAGGTCAGGCGACCTAAGCCAAGCAGATGCGAGGTCGAGGGTGGTAAACAACAAATGCAGGCGGGGTAGGCAGGAATTGACGCTGAAACAGGCTGTTCCAGCTTCACCGACTGACTCAAAGGGGGGAAATGAGCTGGGAAGCAACGAGAGACGAGAGAGGGAGGTCGGGGGACGGAGAGCTTGAACCGATCTCGAAAAATATGGCGGAGGAGGTGGCTGGCGCGCAAGAACGAGGGGTTATTATTCAGAGTGGGAAAAAGATATGGCCTGTAAACAAAAGTCGGATTGGATCACAGTCAATTCAGACCCCAGCACCACGGCCGCCGGTCCACCTGTGACCGTCCACCACTCACACACAGTGCGGCTGCCACTAATTGGCCCTTGGGGTCCGAGGCGCTTTTTTTTTTCTTCTTGCCTTCGCTCCCCTGCGGCAACTTCCGCTTTGGTTAGGTTGGCCCTGCTCAGGTGTACCGAGGCGCTGTATTTTGGATTGAGAGTACCTGTGGTGGCTTTCCGAGGACCCGACTCACCAACTCCCAACACTGACCGACAGACTGTGTGAGAGCGGTGTGTCGACTGCCCTTTTTTTTTTTTTTTTTTTTTTTCCCCCTCCCCTCTGCCTCCTCCTTCCTCTATCGCGCCCGTGACATCTCAGTCTGAGAATCCGCAACGGCTGGATCCACCCAACCGGCTGCCAACCGGCACCAGCCTTCTTCCAGTGTCCCAACAGCGACGGTTCTCTGCATCCGCACACTCCACTCTCTTTTCACAGCATTTTACGGTCAAGAACCACCACGCCTGCCAAGTTCTGGGTGCCTCGAAAATTGCTGCGCACCTGAGGCACTAACGAGCCTGTCCCTCCATCTGCCAGCTGCCAGTGCGCCCTCGACAATCGACCGATTCAACGGAGAGTTGTTCATACCCGTACGGGCAGATCCTCAGCTTGCAGCGCGGCCATCTTCATTGCGAAGTATCCTCCAGCCAGCAATCACAGCCAGGGGATGAAACCCGACCACCTTCTATTCAATTCCAGCAACAGCTTTTGTTTGTCAGGCCACAGAACTTTTGGCCTCGCCAAACCAACGGTTGTTTCCCGAGCCTTCCCACCTAGGTGCACTAGACACCTACCTTACCTTACATTCACCTCTACCTTGAGCTCTCAGCTTTTCCCTTCCAGCACAAGCACGCTAGCCACAGACTGCGCCCTGCGCCCTGCAGCCCTGCTCGCAACCAACCTTGCGACGGCCCACAGCCGACGCCTTCCCCGACTTTACCTGCCACCACCTTGCCAACTGATCGATCCCCCGATCTCCAACGACGCGTCTTTCGCAAAGCAGTCGCAGCACCACCATCGCATCGACCTCCACAAGTCGCCATCTTCCATCAGCCATTGCACCCACTGCATAGACGGCAGCTATCTGCAACTCGTATGATAGAGAGCGCATGTCTCCGCGACCACTGTCCACCGATTTTTGATGGATCACAAGCGCAAGTCGTCCGCCGCAAATGGCGCGACCGAAGGTGCTGATGAGCGCGCCGCAAAGCGCCTCAGATTGTCACAGGTGAGCTTTTGTTCTGCCCCTTCCCCATGCTGTCCTTGGTCACTCGCCTCTTGTTCGCCCAGCTTTGATGGCCCGGATCTGCTCTTGCAATCTGTTCCCTCCGGCGTTGCATTCTCACAATGACTTGCCTGCAACCTCCGGGGCCAGCCGACAGCCAGGCCAACCCGCCTGCACTTGCCATCACCAACCATTTATCCCACAGTGCCCCAGTCTGCCTGAGCTCCTAGCATCCACCAGCAGTCTCCATACCCCTCCATAAGGCATCCTACGAGGAGCAGAGGCGAAACAGACAAGCTAACATCACCACTACGCAGAAATACAATCTCAGTAAGCAAGAGACTGTCGAGTCTACCACCGAACATGGCCTATTCTTCCTGGAGCAGATCCGCCAGACCAAAGATAAGAAGTGAGTCTGTCCTTGACGTACTACGATGCATCCATGGCATATCAAGCCCTCTTTGGAGGTGCACAGCCATCTATAGTAGACGCTCACAATCAATTCTTCCAGTGGCCGGCTCGTGGCAGGATACTTCGAAAAGCTCCCCTCAAAAGAGAGCACCCCCGAATACTACAAGAAGACGCGCATGCCGATCTCGCTGTCCATGATTGAACGGAAGCTCAAAAAGGGAGACTTTTCTACCCTGACCGAGCTCGAGAGCTACTTCAAGCGCATGGTGACCAACGCGAAAGAGTTCTATCCTCGCAACACCCAAATCTTCGACGATGCCGAGAGGGTTCGAAAGGCCCTCAGCAACTACATGACCAAGACGAACCCTGCATACAACGGTGGCAACTACAGTGCCGTGCCGACGCCTCTGCCTGCCTCCGGTGTTGTAGACGAAGTTGAGGAGGAAGACGAAGACGACGCGACCCCTGCCAAGACGGGCCGCCGTAAGTCCCAGGGAAATGCGAAGCCTGCGGAAAAGCAGCCCGAGGTTGACGAAGGCGATGAGGACGAAGACGAAGATGCCGAGGAAGATGAAGATGAAGAGGATGAAGACGAAGACGACGACGCAGAGGGAGAAGAAGACGATGATGAGGAGGCGAGCCAGTCCTCAAAGCGCGCCGCAATAATCATCCGTCGCAGAGGCCCTGGTAGACCTCCTAAGGGAGTGACGCCGCGCAAGTCCAAGGGTCGTACTAGCACACCCAGTCGTCCTGACTGCGAGTACGAGGACGTCCCGTACAAGGGTCTCACCTTCCAGGCCGCGCAGGAGAAGATTGTGGAAGAGATGCTGCGCAAGCGAGAAGACGAGTATGTCACCCTCTTTCAGGAACCCACAACTGCATCCGTACTGATTACTTGTGCAACAGGCCCGAGGCGTACTTCGAGCCTTTTGTAAATCTACCTCCCCGTGCCCTCAAGGACTATTATCGGGTCATCAAGGAGCCCATCTCAATCAAAAAGCTCCAGAAATCTGTCAAGGGAGTCAAGGGACGAAATGAAGCCACGGGTACCAGCGAGTTCAAGAACTGGGCTGCGTTCGAGGAGAGCGCTAGCCTCCTTTGGAAGAACGCTTGCTTCTACAATGAAGAGGGAAGTGAGATTTACGAGTTAGCCCAGGAATTGAAGGTGAGATTTTCGGCGGGAAACGGCGATCCTTCATGGTAGAACTAACTCCGGTCAAGGAATTCTTCCTGGATGAGCTGAAGCAGGCCAAAGCAGTTGTCCCAGAGCCATCACAGCCAAAGATCAAGTTGAAGGTACAGCAACCTGCGGCAGAGCAGCCTACTACGTCCAAGAAGATTACAATCCATGTGGGAGGCAAAAGCGATTCGGCGGACTCACCGGCGCCTCCTGTTCCTCAGTCTGCAGGCTCTCAAGCAAGCGAGCAGATCGCCCCGAATGGCACCACGCGTCAAGCTGCTAACCCTATCATGCCAGCTGCGATGGACAGAATTCGAAGCACTTCGGCGGCCTCTCCCAGTCCTTCAGTTGCTAACACTATCAAGCGAGAAGATGTTATGCGCCCTTCTCCTGCCGGTACGCCCGGTCACGCGAGTACACCGTCGGCTTTTCCACCTCCTGGCCAACCCGCAGGACTGTCCAGTGCAACTTTCCAGCCTATCGGTGCTCCGCAGCAACAGGTGCAGCCGAACGGGGTTCAGCAACCTAGCAAGCCTCTCTGGGACCAGAGACTTCGCGCGCCTGGCAAAGGTAGATTACCGTGTTCTCAGTTTAGGTGACGCGATACTAACAGTTTTATAGGCATTGCGGATGCCCTCATCTCTAGCCTCAAGGTCCAGACTCATCCGATGATCAATCATGATCGTCGGTTTGAAGTTACCGTCAAACCTCTCGAGAAGGTGTCCCAACAGTCGGTTACGGTTCATATGCCTGCCAATCAGCTGAGGATTCAGATCGTCCCGACCTTGCCTGCCTTCTTAGAGAAGGAGGGACGCCAGTACAGACTCTGGGTGATCATCAACCGGCATACACTCACTCCGGTTCATGGAGTTCCAGGTCAAGTGCTTTCAACCGGCGAAAGGGTATTCGAGGCCCAGCTCCAGGCTGGTATTGTCAACACCATCGAGGTCCACGTTGTTGCAGCATTGCCCAAGGGCCAGAAATTGCCGAGTGGTGAAGACTTTGAAGTGGAGCAAATGACGGTGCTCGCCAACGTCGTGAGAAACTAGGAGCCTCCGATCAGCATCAGTGACGCATCCACTTCTGTCGAACTATTGGGGGGACACTTGGTCGGTTCAGATCATCAGCGCACAGAATCGTCGGGTGATGGCGTTGGCTACCGTGACCGTAGCGCTGCTGAACGGGCTGTAGGTTTCCTTGCCCCAACCTTGCAGGCACTTTGGGACAAAGCTGAAGAAAAAAGGGTCCATGGCGATCTCCCGAACCATCTTCTCGATCGGCGCCCCGAAGCATACAACTTGAGCGATAACGGTTATACACGCTACCCCCCGATGGATTATTCGAGTTGCGTGCTGTTGCGACCAGATCAAACGCGGACGACTTCGCAAATTGTTCAACCCACAGCAGCGGCTCCGGAGATCAAGCCTCGCAAGCGTTTGCCGGATGATAGGCTGGCTTGGTCCTTGCCACGTGAACAGAAGCCGGATGTGTCGCCCAGAGCTTGGTCGAACCTGCCAGACCCGTGGCGCCCGTCTCAACCGAAGCCCCGGAGCCAGCCTGAGGTGAAGGAAGAGCCCGAGAGAGGACTTCATAATGGGCTATCTTTAAGTCTTGAAGATGCACACTTGGCAACGAGCTATATTCTTTCCATTGGGCCCGATTTACTTATGAAAGTGGGCAAGCACCCTCGTCCTAGTTTGCTGATGCGGGCCTGCGTTGATGAGAAAGTGATAAAAGGACTCGTCAAGATAGGAGGACTCGTTAACTATAACAACAACCAAGCATTGTTCACCGATCAGGCTTCTATCAGCGCAGTAACGATCAAATGGATATCCATGCTTAGGGAGGCGGACGCTATGGGCGACAGAAAGAAGGGTCTGATACACCTCATGGGCAGCGTAGCACTCTTACTCGATGACCAGGACATGTTCAACAAGGTTCTGCGACACGTTTCCCCTATTTGAGCTGCGTGGTACTTCAAGTTCGCAGGGCATTCGCCCATCCACTGAAAAGAGGAAATTGGTTTTGGATGTTTGGTCTGGTCAACATTCACAGAGAATTCGGCGTTTGTTCTTATATTGCTGTCGTTGTGGGACTATTTCAATATCCGCGGCCGGTTTATATGCCTTCAGATCTGGGCATGGGAAGGCGTTGCTGCTACTAGGGTATTGCCGCGGTGGGTTGGGACGGACAATTATGTATAGATAGATAATAAGTGTTCCATCACCAGAGTGGTTTTTGCATGCGTTGCTTTCTGGTCTCTTCCATCTCCAGGGCAAGTGCTTTCACGCCGAAATCAAGATGAATTTGATGTCACCCGGAGTTCACTGAGGCAAGTGTCCGTGAGCAACTCTGCTTATTGAACGTGATGCGAAGCTATCCCTCCATAGGAGCCAGGATGTCGTAAAGCTGCGCAAGCTTTGTGCAGAGAACTTCGTATTGGAGTCATACTTGCATGACGTCGTCTGGGGATCCGTAATTCAGCTGTGGATCCTAGTGGGAAAATTGGAGCAGCGTTTACCCCAGCAACCGGCATGCAAGCAGTGTCTTGGAGGACGTCGGTAATGCGGCCGGGGTGCCGTCGGACCCTCCGACGTAGCAGCTTTCGTTGTGCGACGGGGGCTTCGGGGGTCGGTGGGCTCTTCCCGCCCAGAAGGACAGCAGACCTGGCGTCACATTGTCTTGTCTCAGATGCAGCCTCTTGCGTATCCGTAGTTGGTGAGCACGAGGGCAAACGCTCGTTGTTCTCGACAGCTACGAAAGACATTGGGCTGGGCGTTGAAATAGGCGCGGCAGGTTGCATCACTAGCAGCAGCCGGGCCGGCGGCAGTTGATCTGATGTCTAATCTGTGCAAGCTGGTTGGCACACAGGCATACGGTTCAATAGGAAGGTGACAAGATAGTCTACGCTGAACTTTGTGCATTCGATTTTTCGTAGCCGACTCCAATTGACTCCGATACCGTCTGAAGTTGATCAAAGGTAAAACACCTGAAGAAGCCAACTGGTTGGAACCACAAGGCCGGGTCAGCTCGTTGAAAGAAAGCTCAGCCAGCTTCTGCTGGTGTTCCCTCCACAGCGGGTAGGATGAGTCAATTGACCAATGTCGGAATCGAGCTTCCGTGCGGCATGCAACGCCCCCGTTGCCGCGTTCTCTCCGCTGCTGCACAATGTGAAAGGCGGGCCTCTAGCAGACCCTCCTGCTGCAAGAACCCTGTTACCAGTGGCAGGCGAGGTCTTCTGGGCGGTCAAATCATCCAATATTGGGGGTCGCCAGCCGTCGGGAGACTGACGATTGAAGGAAAGGCGGTGTCTGTCTCCAGCACCACCAGAAACCTAGGCTGCAGGACCAAGCCGACTGCACTGAGTGACCACCAAACACCTCACTGCAACAAGGTGGCACAGTGGACACGGGCCAGAATCCGGGCAAGCTGCAGCATGTGGCATTACCATTTCGAGGGCTAGCGCGGAAGCAATGTGGGAGATCGATCTTCCGATAACGGGGGGTTGATTGGCCGGCGCAAGGAGTGGATGCCACTACAGCCAATGGGAGGCTCCTAAGGCAGCCCACTTCAGGTGGCATCTAGCGGGGTACAGGCAGGACCGACGTAAGGACCGGCCCTGAAATTTGTTAACTCGAGAGTCAATGGCACGGCGCTGCAGCGTGGTCGGGGGTGTAGGTATTTGTCTGAAGCGGGGCCAAAGAGTGGAAAAAATTCTTTTTTTCGTCAATTGACTGGTCGACCAAGGTTGGCAGCGAACGCCGTACTCGGTCATCACTGGCCATCCCGCCCAATCCACTCCTTGTAGCGTCCGCCTCGCCTCAGTCGGCCTGCTTCTGGCTTCCCAGCATAATTTTTTTCCTTTACATACAAAGGCTGCCTCTGCCACTCTCTCCCCGGTCACGTCTCTTCTCCTGTGACTCAACCAGCTTTACCCCAAAATCTTGTATAAATATCGTCACCATCCAGACTCTGGAAATCCCGCCTTCCATCGATTCGATCCATCAACCCCGAACCTCGAGCGCCGCTGTATGAACATACAAAATGTGCCCTACTCCTGATGTCCCGGCCACCAACGGCCAGTCCAATGGCACCAATGGCCACACGAACGGCTCCAATGGCGCCGCCAACGGCAACAACGCTGGTGCGTACTACATGATGGTTGCGCGACAATTTCTCAACCGTGACTGACTCTTCTCGCGTCCAGACCACCCTGGCTACACTGCCATTCCTGTAGGGACACCCAAACTGGCTTCCCACCGTGATGCCCTGTTCTGACTCCGATCGCGCAGACCAAGCAGAAGCACAGCAACCCTTACCAGCCGGTAGGAGACTTCCTCAGCAACGTCGACCGTTACAAGATTAGTATGTTCTGCCGTTCTCTAGGCCCTGCTCTCAAAAGCAGCCACTGACTGGAGGCGCAACAGTCGAGTCCACTCTGAGAGAGGGCGAGCAGTTCGCCAACGCCTTCTTCGACACCGAGACCAAGATCAAGATTGCCAAGGCTCTCGATGACTTCGGCGTCGACTACATTGAGCTGACCTCCCCGGCGGCTTCTGAGCAGTCCCGCAAGGATTGCGAGGCCATCTGCAAGCTCGGCCTCAAGGCCAAGATCCTGACTCACGTCCGCTGTCACGTAAGAAGTCTCGCCATCTCACGAGCAAGACTACGTCGCTAACCAGTGAACAGATGGACGATGCCCGCCTGGCCGTCGAGACCGGTGTTGACGGTGTTGATGTCGTCATTGGCACCTCTTCCTACCTGCGCGAGCACTCTCACGGCAAGGACATGACCTACATCATTAACGTGGGTCTATCTTCAATTCCGAGTCGCGCAATGATTTACTGACGGCTTTGATGAACAGACTGCCATTGAGGTTATCCAGTTCGTCAAGTCCAAGGGTCTCGAGATTCGTTTCTCCTCGGAGGACTCCTTCCGTTCCGACCTCGTCGATCTGCTTTCCGTCTACAGCGCCGTCGACAAGGTCGGCGTCCACAGAGTCGGTATCGCCGACACCGTCGGTTGCGCCAGCCCCAGACAGGTCTACGACCTCGTCCGCACGCTCAGAGGTGTTGTCAGCTGTGACATTGAGACTCACGTAAGTCGCGTCTGAGTGCGAGGATTTCACAAAGGCTCGATCATGCTGACGCGCGAGATTTAGTTCCACAACGACACCGGATGCGCCATTGCCAACGCCTACTGCGCTCTTGAGGCTGGTGCCACCCACAGTGAGTTGCTTTCCGTAGCCAGTGCCTGGGAAACTACTTGCTAATTGCCTGTCGCAGTTGACACCTCCGTCATCGGTATCGGTGAGCGCAACGGTATCACCCCCCTGGGTGGTCTGATGGCTCGCATGATCGTCGCCGCCCCCGAGTACACCAAGTCCAAGTACAAGCTCCACAAGCTCAAGGAGCTTGAGGACCTGGTCGCCGAGTCTGTCGAGATCAACATTCCCTTCAACAACTACATCACTGGCTTCTGCGCCTTCACTCACAAGGCTGGTATCCACGCCAAGGCCATTCTCAACAACCCCAGCACATACGGTACGTGGCCCAGCTACAGCGTTTGGCCAGTGACGAAAGCTAACTCGGAGCAGAAATTATCAACCCTGCCGATTTCGGTATGAGCAGATACGTCCACTTCGCCTCGAGATTGACTGGATGGAACGCCATCAAGAGCCGTGTCGAGCAACTCGGCCTCACCATGACCGACGCGCAGGTCAAGGTCGTTACTCAGAAGATTAAGGCCCTCGCAGACGTCAGGCCAATCGCCATTGACGACGCCGACTCAATTATTCGTACTTTCCACCTGAACCTCAACTCTGACGAGGAGAAGCCCCTTCTGCCGAACCTGACTGCCGAGGAGCAGGCCAAGTTCGAGCAGGCGGAAAGAGAGCTTGCTGGCGAGCCGGAGAAGCGTGCACTGGATGAGGCTGCAGCGGAGCCCGCTGCCAAGAAGGTTAAGGCGTAAAAATTGTTTTCGGGATGCATACGGGACTTCAAAAAAGGGGCATCTGCTTGTACAATCATAGAGGGGAGAGCTACAAAAGTGTTTAGTTCAGATACCTCATCATATCAACGACGAAATGGAACGTTTATACTACGTAATTTTGACGCAGGCTCCGATGTCGCTGGTGCTACAATTTTCCCCACGAACCAGTATAGCTCTTGCCTCGAGAGCTCCATCGAGGGCAGACACTCAGGCCACGTAGCTTGCAATGACATTTGCTATCCTTCTGTAGGCTCACCGCCCTCGGTCAGAATAAAATCAATGGTCATCACGTCGCGTGCCCGTTGTCCAGGTAAAGCTCCAAAAAGTTAGCTCAGACCGGGGTCCAGTTGGTGGGGCTTGGCCAAGGAGCTAAGATAAGATAAGCAGCGGCAGAATGCAAAAAAATAATTCACTGACCACTGAATGTCTAACCGCCCGCGCTGAATCCCTTCTCTGAACCGCCAACGTTCAAAACTTCACCTCGAGAATGCGCATCCCTCTCATGCCCTCATGACACAATAGAAGCCGACCGAAATACCTCTTCTGAAAGTCGACTTCCATTTTGACCGATCGAAATACCGGCCGCGACCACAAACACAGTTTCAAGATGGATGCGCACGCCCTGCTTTCGCGGCAAGGGTGGCGCGGCAAAGGGCACTCCCTCCACGCAACGGACGACGCAATCGGCCTCGCGAAACCGCTCCTTCTCAATCGCAAAGACAACACCAAGGGCCTCGGCCAAAAAGCGCATTTTACGAGCGACACGTGGTGGATGAATGCGTTCGACGAGCAGCTCCAGGGCCTGGACACGTCGAAGAAGGGGCAGGTCACGCAGACCGTCACGCAGGGACGGCTGAACCAGATCGAGAAGGTTTCTGGCGGGAAATGGATGCTTTACGCGAGCTTCGTCAGGGGCGGGTTCTTGGATGGGACGATCAAGGGTCCGGAGGAAGAGAGCGGTACTTCGACGCCGGAGAGCGAGGAGACGAGTGGCGATAGCGAGGATGGAGGCGTCAAGCTGTCGAGGGGCAAGGAGAGGGGGGAGACTAAGGAGGAGAAGAGGGCGAGGAAGGCTGCGAGGAGAGCGAGGAAAGAGGCGAGGGAGGCGAGGAGAAAGGAGCGGGCTTTGAAGAAGGCGAAGAAGTCTAAGGCGGTGGAAAAGGCCGATAAGGGAAAGGTGAGGGAGGAGTCTAAGGAGGAGAGGAAGGCAAGGAGAGAGGCGAAGAAGGCGAAGAGGGAAGCGAGGAAAGGAAAGACCGAGTCCGGATGAGATTGGTCTGGCCAGGACATGGATCAGCTATAAAACCACGGGTCTTGGGCCGACTGGGAGGAAATCGCGCCGTTCACATAATGAGCGTTAACGCTTGGTGACTACGCATCATCTGGCAAGGCCGGTGATTGCCGCATGGAACGCACCAGCTCGAAAGATACCATTGGCGCAGCATATACAGCGCTGCTCACGGCAGAGATTGCTATATGGATATAGAATCGGAGTGCAAGATACACATCCGCGGTGTAACGGCATGCTTCCCAGCATAACCGGCCGCCGTAATTCAACTTTTACGCCATCTAAGCTGCCGACGCTCACAGTCTTCTGTGGTGCAGTTCCTTGTCTCTCATGCAAAGGCTTCGGGCCCATCTGAGCTATACATCTAAGGTTCTTTGGGCGTCTTGCCCGGCTTGTTGGACAGCAGCCACGGCCTCCTGTCCCAAAAGTCGTCCTTGATGATGTCCAGATGCTCTATCACGACGCGGGCCTTGTTGCGCTTCTTCTTTTCCTTCTCGGCCTGCGACTTGCTCTGTTGCGTTGGTTCGGCCAGGGCATCTGCGGCTTCGGACGCATTGTGAGTTCCGGGCTCGACGAGTTCGTACTATGAATTTGTTAGTGTTTTCGTAATCAAGGGGGAGTAGATTTCCTTACGTCTCGGAAGATCACACTGCCCTTCTTGTACATCTCAGGCTCATTGTTATAGTTGATGTTGAATTTTGAGAAGAGAATCTCATTCTTGTCGCCGGAGACGGTGCCCTGGAAAAGTTTTAGTTTTTATGAGAAGGGGAAGATTGCTCTTGTTGTACGACTGACCGCAAGCATTTGCTCGGCTGTCTTGTTGTCATAGCCGCCTAATTGGATCAAGGACCAAAATGTTGTATTGTACAAGTTGTTGATGTGGCCTATAAGGATGAGTCAGATCGAAATTCATGATAGAAAAACTTTAAGCAACAGTTTGCTGCCCGTATGAATCAGATATGTCAAAACTTACAGTCAACCTGACGCCAGCTCATGTAGTCTCTCAGGTTTGAGACAGTGGGATAGCAAACCGCCCTGCCATCAAAACTTGGCAGAGGTGGTGAAAGCGGGGTATCAGGGAAGTATTGTGACCACAAGTAGATGTAGTTGGCCGTGAACGTTGATACCACTGTGCTCACTAGCTTACTAGAGGTTTGTGAGTTTCTTTTACTGTTATGTCCAAGAGTTTTGGTGTTCCCTACCTGGCTCTTCTTTCGAACAGCGTACATGATTTGTGGAAGACGAAACTGTACTCGTCGCTCACACCATACGCTATGGTGATGTCTGGAAGTTCTGTTACCACCACGCGCGCGGCCGCGTTCATGAGATCGAGCGCCCTTTTATCGTTCGGCTTCTCGAACTGGTACTTGGCGCATAGTCTGTGAGTCGGTCAGAGGTATTCAGTTGTTCGTCTGGTCTGATGTCCCCTTACTTTGTGAAACCTCTGCCGTCGATACGAACCACAATCCATGTGTTTGGAAGAAGGGTGTCAACTTGCTCGAAAGCCTTTACATATTCGAACCTGTGACATGAGTTAGTCAGGTCTCGAGCTTCATATCGGGCGACCGTACTTGGAATTCGCCATAATGAGAATATTCGTGCTGAGCCTGCCAAGGTTGATAGGTGAACACTCAAAAATAGGACATAGGGCCGAGGATAAAATAATAGGAATCGGGCTCGAAACAGGAGGTCAGGAGTCGTCACCCTCCTTTGACATGCGTCAACCCTCGAATGACAGTCAGAGATGGATTTCAGGTAGAGTTCGCGCCGAGTGTAAGGCGGGCGGGAATGGTGGGGGAGGGGTTGTCGCTCCTTCAGTGGGGTTCGTCGCTGAAAAGCTGCGTCCAAGCACCCAAAGGTAGGTCCCTGATCCCTGTAACCTCTGCTGTCAGCCTTGCAGGCGCGATGGAATAAAGGCAATCGCAACCGCGCACGGCTAAACGATGTTTATAATTTGCGACTTTGAAGCTCCCACGCTTCCATTTTCTCAATTGTTTACCAGCACCTTGTCGCTTCGAAATTGGCTGCTCGTGCCCGAATATCTTCGCCCGCAGCCCTATTAAGCATCATGAATTTTCTGCTCAGCAACGAAGAGAACGAGGCCATTGCCGCCGTCGAGGCCATCAATGCGATCAACAACACAAATACGATTCGGTCCGGCCACTCAACATGTCTGCGTTTCAACCGAGCAGGCGACCTTCTTGCTTCAGGCAGAGTCGATGGAACAGTGGTAATTTGGGATATTGAGACTATGGGAGTTGCCAGGAAGATGCGCGGCCACAACAGGAGCATCACATCACTAAGCTGGTCAAGATGCGGCCGATATCTGCTATCGGCCTGCCAAGGGTGGAAGGCCATTCTATGGGATCTCAAGGATGGCAAAAGATACCGCGAGGTTCGCTTTCGAGCCCCTGCCTACATCGCCGAGCTCAATCCCTTCAACCAGTGAGTATAACCCCCCACCAGATCAGAAGAACTTAGCTGACGCGACAAGTCACCAGTTTGTGGCCTCCATCTTCGAAGAGCAACCGATACTGGTGGACATCTCAGACGTGAACGATGTGAAATACCCACTGCCATCAGCGCCGAAGCACCCCGAGGGAGAAAGGACCGAGAAGCAGTTGAAAGAGGATGCGAAACAGATGACAACGGTTACGATTTATACTTCTACCGGCGAGCACATTCTGGCTGGCACAAACAAGGGATGGGTGAACGTCATCGATGTCAAAACGAGAAAGACGATATACTCGGAAAAACCTTGCAGCGGCGTCATTACAACACTGCGTCTCAACAATTCGGGGCGTGTGTTGTTGATAAATGCGCAAGATCGTATCGTCAGAACCTTTCACATTCCGAATCTGGCGGCGGAGGACCTGGACCTCGACACGGTACACTTTACGAAGGAGCACACTTTCTCGGACCAGGTCAACAGGTTATCTTGGAACCACGTCACGTTCAGCTCCGCTTCCGAATACGTAGCAGCGTCGACCTATAATAATCACGAGATATACGTATGGGACAGAGGCATGGGAAGCACGGGATTGATCCGAATCCTAGATGGACCCAAGGAGGAGCAAGGTGTTGTCGAATGGCATCCAGATCGACCGTTCATCGCTACGTGTGGCCTGGAGACGGGGAGGATATACGTCTGGTCTGTCATCCCAGAACAGAAATGGTCGCGACTTGCACCGGACTTTGCGCAGGTCGAAGAGAACCAGGAGTACGAGGAGAAAGAGGACGAGTTTGATATCTACGGTCAGGAGGAATTGACCAAGAGGCGGCTGGACGCCGAGGACGAGGATATTGACGTGGTCAGTTCTGACTTTCTTCACGTGAACAACGGGGGCAAAGAAGCGTTCCGCATGCCGATTCTTTTCGATCTTGGCGAGAGCGACAGCGAGGAGGAGTTTGTCGCGGTATCTACCGGAACCATGAGGAGAAGGAGTCCAGGTGCGGACGGTGAGATACCGGATAGCGAGGTGATTGAGGAGAAGATTCCATCAAGGAAGGGTGCAACCAAGCCGTCGAAGGCCGGCAGGAGGCGATGAAGGACTTGCTGTCTCATCAGTGTGGTGTTTCGACAGCTCCAGCAGCCCGGTTAAAGCGTCGGTGTAGACGCGTGACAGGGCGTTGGATCGCGTAGCTATGGCACGAGCTTCGGTTGGCGTCCAGATCCCTGCCAAATACTTAGCGCGACGGCGGTGATGCCAGACTCCAGCTTTGTACAGCTGCTTATTAATAGCAAACAATGCCCAAGTGGTTTTAGCAAGCGCAATTTGAACGTAGTCGTGCCTGAAAGAGTGCATCGAGACGTCGAGAAAAGACGTCGAGTCAATGAATAAATTTTTTTGACTCATCGGCCAGTTGCAACTTGAGGCCAGTCAGCCAGCGCGCCTTCCAACGAATCTCCTTAGAAACGTCAAGGTAAGGTAGAGCTACTTCTGTCCTCGTAAGGGATTGGTGTGTTTCAGCATTTTTGCGGGTACCCGGACTACCTCCAGCGGGAGCCTTAGGCACGCGTTCCCAGCCAGAGCAGGAGAGAAAGGAGCGTGACTGCCTAATCCGGCTAGCGCCTTTTGACAGGCTGCGCCAGCCGCCTCCAGGCAAGATTTCTCTGACCTCGCTCCTCGCTTTTGCCTCCACGGCTTCACATCTACAACTACCGACAAGCCATCGCTTCACCACGCGCATCGTCGGAGAGCGCGTCCAAGCACCAGCACACTCCTTTCCGACTCGACGACCGATATCACGATCGCGATTTTTTCTTCGACTCGCCCGCGCTCGGAAGCCGCGATTGGGAGGAACTGTGGAACCTTCTCCTGGGCCGCTGGCCGGGGATTGGCGTGGTCAAGAGCGCCATCATTGGAACGACTTTTCTCGACCTTTTGCATCTCGACGAGCGTTTCGTACGATAGATTTTTGCATTTCCGACTTCTTGCGCCTGCTTTGCGACCTTTTCAAGTCGCGTAACGACTATCTGCGGCATCCGCGTTTTTCGCCCCCGGACTCTGCCAGTCACGCTTCGACACCTTCCTTCCCGACTCCGACAGAAAACCCGGCAACATGGCGAACCTGTACTTTACGCACTCGAGTGCGCCGATCAAGACGGTGGAGGAGATTCAGTTTGGTCTGATGGCGCCCGAGGAGATCAAGAATATGAGTGTCTGCCACGTTCTCTACCCCGAGACCATGGACGAGACGCGCACCAAGCCTCGTGACGGCGGCTTGAACGATCCCATGCTCGGTTCCATCGATCGTCAATTCAAGTGCAAGACCTGCAACCAGGCGATGGGCGAATGTCCAGGTCACTTCGGCCATATCGAGCTGGCCAAGCCTGTGTATCACCCCGGCTTCATCAAGAAGGTGAAGAAGGTGTTGGAAATCGTCTGCCATAATTGCAGCAAGGTGCTGGCGGATAGAGTTAGTCTAACCGGCGTTGCTTGACAGCCACCTTGACTCGATTGTGCTAACCTGCCCATCTCAGAGCGACCCAGAATTTCTGCAAGCCGTGAACACCAGAGACCCAAAGGTTCGATTTAACCGGATATGGAACATCTGCAAGAAGAAGACCCGTTGCGAGAACGAGACCAAGGAGGTCAAGAACGACGATGGAGAGTACAGTTTGGGAATGAAGCAGGCTCCCGTCAACCACGGTGGTTGCGGCAATATCCAGCCCAGAGTTCGTCACAAGGCGTTGCAGCTCATCGCCAAGTACGAGTCTTCTGGCGAGGATGGTGTCAAGAAGAAGGAGGAGCCTCAAATCACGCCTGAGATGGCTCACAACATTCTGCGCCGCATCAGCGATGACGACCTGAGGGACATGGGTCTCAACCTCGAGTACGCTCGTCCGGAGTGGATGATCGTTACTGTTCTGCCAGTTCCGCCTCCGCCTGTTCGTCCTAGTATTTCTATGGACGGCACCGGTCAAGGTCTGAGAAACGAAGATGATTTGACCTACAAGCTGGGTGATATCATTCGAGCCAACAGCAACGTCAAGCAGGCCATTCGCGAAGGCTCTCCTGCTCACATTGCTCAAGACTTCGAGCAGCTTCTGCAGTACCACGTTGCCACCTACATGGACAACGACATTGCTGGACAACCTCGTGCTCTCCAAAAAAGTGGTCGTCCCGTCAAGGCCATTCGTGCCCGTCTCAAGGGCAAGGAGGGTCGTCTCCGTGGAAACTTGATGGGTAAGCGTGTTGACTTCTCGGCACGTACCGTTATCACTGGTGACGCCAACTTGTCTCTCGACGAAGTCGGTGTGCCCCGAAGCATCGCTAGAACTCTCACCTACCCTGAAACAGTCACGCCATACAACATCGGCAGGCTGCACGAGCTGGTTCAAAACGGACCCAACGAACACCCTGGTGCCAAGTATGTTATCCGCTCTGACGGAACCAGAATTGATCTTCGTCATCACCGTCGAGCCGGTCAGATTTCGCTCGAGTACGGCTGGAAGGTCGAGCGTCACTTGATCACGGGCGACTACATCATCTTCAACCGTCAGCCCTCCCTGCACAAGGAGTCTATGATGGGTCACAGAGTTCGTGTGATGCCATACTCTACTTTCCGTCTCAACTTGTCCGTCACCTCGCCCTATAACGCCGATTTCGACGGTGACGAAATGAACCTTCACGTCCCTCAAAGCGAAGAGACGAGAGCAGAGGTCAAGGAACTGTGCTTGGTACCGATCAACATCGTGTCACCGCAAAGAAATGGTCCTCTCATGGGTATCGTGCAGGACACTCTTGCCGGTGCCTACAAACTCTGCCGTCGTGACGTTTTCCTCACCAAGGAAGCCGTGATGAACATCATGCTCTGGGTTCCCAACTGGGACGGTGTAATCCCCCCACCAGCTATCATTCGTCCTCGACCAAGATGGACGGGTAAGCAGATCATGAGCATGGCTATTCCCAACATTGTCAGCTTGCACAATGCCCCGGATTCCAAGGAAGACAACCCGCTTAAGGACGAGGGTCTTCTTATCCAATCCGGCGAGCTCCTTTACGGTCTGCTTTCCAAGAAGAACATCGGTGCTGCCAGTGGTGGTATTGTCCACATCGTCTACAACGAGCACGGCCCCGA